GACCCTCTCCGGTGTCCCTGCAGGGGAACACCCCCGGATGGGCGCCCTGGACGTGTGCCCCTTCATCCCGGTGAGGGGCGTCTCCATGGAGGAGTGCGTGCTCTGTGCCCAGACCTTCGGGCAGCGGCTGGCCGCGGAGCTGGGGGTGCCAGGTGAGCGCCGGCCCGTCCGCTCGGGGCCGGTCGCCAGGGCCCTGACCCGTCCAGGGTTTCACCACCAAACTCCCTGTGGGGCTGAGTCAGCTCCGCGGGGGGGGGGGCGCGGTGGGGCTGGCGCTGGCCAAGCCGGCCAGGCCCTCGGCCTGGGAGAGGAGCGGAGAGCGCGCAGCCGGACAGGCCCCTGGCCTCCGGCCACCGACCCTGCTGGGGCGCCGGCTGGGGTGTGCCTGCGAGGCTGGGGTTCACAGGCGCCCCGTGTGCGCGGTGGGGGCGTGGGCGGGGGCTGAAGGGGGTTGTCTGGCGGGGCTGTGGGCGCGTGGAGGGCGCAGGGTGTGGACTCGGGGCGCAGGGTGTGGACTCGGGGCGGTGCTGCAGCAGCAGGAAGCCCGTGGGGCCCTCAGAGGTGTGGGAACCCCGGCGGCCGCCCCCTGCTGTCTGACTGCAGCCGCCAGCTTCTCGGGGTGTCAGAGCAGGCGTGGCACGCCGGGCCCTGGGGCTGGGGGCGCACACCTGGACGTGCGACCACCGAGGTGTGTCCCGGGCGGAGGCCGGTCGCAGCGGCCCCACTTCCCGGGGATGGACCTGGACGGCTGACCAGCCTGCCCTGCAGTGTACCTCTACGGCGAGGCAGCGAGGACCGCCAGCCGCCGGACGCTGCCGGCCATCCGGGCCGGGGAGTACGAGGCTCTCCCTGAGAAGGTGCGTGCGCCCCGGGGCCCTCCCCGGAGGCAGCTCGCCGCATGTGCTCAGCTGCGCGGCTCCCGCAGCTCCAGCGGCCCGAGTGGGCGCCTGACTTTGGGCCCAGCGCCTTCGTCCCCAGCTGGGGGGCCACGGTCACGGGGGCACGCAAGTTCCTCATCGCCTTCAACATCAACCTGCTGAGCACCAAGGAGCAGGCCCACCGCATCGCCCTCAACCTGCGCGAGCAGGGCCGCGGCAGGGACCAGGTGCGGGGTGCCC